GCTTCCGACAAGACTCGTGGTAATTCTTCATCTCCTTAATTCTTATCAAATAATCTCTTCCAGCCTTACTAACTTGAGCGTTGGAGTGCCTACGGCAAACACCACCCCAGTGTTTTCCAAAAGATTCACGCTTGCCCTTTCATGTGTGCAGGTCTAACGGATAGTCAGTGGCCTCATCCTCACGGGATCAGACCCTATTTTCATGATGGTAGATTTTTTGCATCTACAGTTTGACGCCTACCGTAGGGCCCTCACAATCATATGCCAATGATGACTTACAACATTGGAGGCAACACGGAACTCCTTTTGACTGACAATGTTAATTAGAAAACCCCGTCACGATAAGAATTTTTTTTTTCTTTTTTCTTTATTTTTCTTCGTTTGTTTTATCTATTCACTTGCCATATTATATCTATTCGGCATATCGTAATTTATTTTATATTATATTCATTCAGTGAGTAGTATAAGACCTTTAAGCTCATATTATTGTTCTAAATTAATAATAAAATAATAATGTGTCAGAGTTTAAAGTGGTGTTCCTAAACCACTTGATTCATTGACTTTGCTTCAACAATCTCTCTTCTCTAATCCTCTGTTAAGATAATGCAATATCTTCTGTCTCTAACCTCTCTACATGCGCCTTTTCACTTCAATCATCAAACCACCAGGTGGTCTGCCACCGTCATCAGAGCTTTGCAATGCATTACTCGCCACAAAACCAGTCAAGTTGTTCATTCGAGAAGATGCCGCAATACGGCAGCATCTCTAGGATCTCCGCTCCATTAGAAGGTAACTCAAACTCGACCAGCCTTGATCCAATCCCAATTCAACTTCACGGAGATTTGCCATCACTTTGAAACCCAAAACCTATCCATCTGTTCTCCTAAAATCGCCCTAACAGCTTCTCCAATCATGCAGTGAAATCCTAAAAACACAGCAGTAATCCTCTCAGAACACCTAAAGTCATCTAATAAACACGAAGAGAAACCCCCCAAACAAAACCTGCTTAAGTGACACCACCCCACTCTCGCCTAATCTCCTTACCCCACTGTATTACAAAACTCCAAACTCGAACCATCGCCCCTTCCCAACCAATACATATCAACTCAAACCAACTTAACATCACAATCTCCAACACACCTGCCATAAAAGCCCTCACGCTTCCCACTGTCTGCAAACTTTCCACTCCCCACTGCAACTCAGTGTTGTTGATTTTCGCAAGCGTATGAATCGTGCAAGTAATAAAGTGTATAAAATACGGATATCGAACCCAAGGGAATTACTATTATCAATTACCAATTAAACTATCCTATTACTATTTGATCAATCCAAATTTTATCAAGGAAACCTAAATTAAATAAACAATTGAATTTAAAAAGAAAATTGAAAAAGAGAACAATTAAAATAAACCTTTGGGTAAAAACAAGATGACTAGACCTGGGGCATAGACTTCACACCAACTCTTATTCATGTGTATCAATCTCTCATGCTAATTTTATTAAGCTCTTCCTACAGGTCAAACTCCCTAAATTTCCAATAACTTTCTCTCGAACAATTATCAAATTAACCCTTAATTACTAACCCGAATGATCTCTAATCAGATTTAAACAATTGGGGATCATTACGCTCTATGGAGTTTACCAAAACCTCACAAGTCGCGGTAACCTATCTCTAGCATTCCCTCAACCTATGGTTTTACTACCGTAGACCAACTAAGTATCATCTCTCGATCTCAACTTAGTCCATTGGTTCATTCAATTCTTGGGCCCTTAAGAATCGAAAGCATTAGGAATAATAGTAAAACTTAGGAAAAATTCTTAATACAAATTAACAATCAAATATCAATACATAATTAAGAGATTGGGCTACATCTTAGCCCTAGAGAATAAAATTAGTTCATAATAAACATGAAGGAAACAATCACATTTATTGAAACATTCATCACGAGTTTACAAGAAAAGAATAAGGAAAACTTCTCTATATTGTGAATCAAAGCTCCAGAATTTTTGTTACTTCTCTTCTCTCCAGATTTTTCTCCCTTTCTTCTCACCAAAAGATCCCCCAAAATAATGCTAAAAGACTTCTATTTATATCCCACAAGGGTTAGGGTTTGTTTTTCCTTAATTCTATTTGATTTGGAACCCTTAACCCTATTCTCTTGGCTAAAAATGGATAACAAGTTAGTGACTTCCGTGACTGTGCCACGGCACTTTGCTGCGGCACAGTAGCTGCTGCCCTTTTCCCGCATCATTCCACTATTCTTTAAAGATGTTTATTTTTGAACTCGATAAAGATGTAATTTGGAAACGTTGTAAACATATGAAATGTAATCCTTTGAATCAGATTTCCAACGGTCCAAGACTCGTCTTAATCCGAGTTCTAAAGCTCAAGATATGCTCAAAATACAGAGGCATGCGCAAGCTAGAACGTAATCTGGAATCTTCTCTTTACTTCAACTTCCATAACTTCTTCAATTCAACTCCAATTCTCGATCCATTTGTTTCCACTCGTCAATTATTCCGTTGCCAACATGATTCTTCATCCGAGCATAACATTTAAGCACTAGTAGCCTGAAAAACACTCAAAAACACCCGTGATCCCGTAAAAGGCAATTATGAAAATATTGAGCAACTTAATCAAATTAAGCCTAATTTCCCACAATTAATCCTCATAAACCACTAACTAAATGTGTATTTTCAAGCTCTTATCACAACCCCCAACCAGCTTCTTGCTAGTCCCTAGCAAGCTAAGCGATAGAACAAGTCCTTTAGCTTGAAAACACAAACAAAATAAAGTCTATATCTAAACTATCCTAAATCACTTCTGTAGATTGTCACGGTTGCATTTAGAATATGCAACAAGCCTTTAAACCCCTAGGCGGCCGTAGTTGGACAAGTTATAGTCTCGTGAGGGTTTCCAACAATGATACTCACAAACATCCAAACCTAACCTCACCTAGACTCAAAACAAAAGACTCAAACAAATATTTTAGGATCCATGCATATAATAGTCTCAAAAATTATGTCAATGTGAACAAATCGAATAATTAACAACACGCAAATGCAAAGAAAAAGTGAATTTCAACTGCACTTTTGTTATTGACTCTCTCATAATCATTCACAAACCATTCATCCAAAAACCCAGATGATTTTATGCATAGCTTCCATAGGCAAAGTACGAAAATAAAACAACTATGCAATCAAACTCCATAGGCTCACTTTTCAAACCACTCTCCACTAATGTAGAATCCAATCACACCTCGGATTATTAGGTCTTTTTCATGGTTGTAACGTTAGGCTAGGGTAATAGTTTATGAAAGAACGGAAATGATTTTTTAACAAAATGTAAGAGACTTAATATTTTATAGTAAATGACCATGAACAATCTCTTTCTTGCATCCCTTCTCATTCACCCTTTACCCTTTCATATTGATTGAACTCTTCCTTCCAACATTGGCACAAAACCCTCATGTAATGTACCTCATTTCAAGTTCTTCTCCCCAGCTACTTCTTCCTATTTTTCTGGAAATATCTTTTTCCTTTTTTTTTTTTTTTTTTTTTTTTTAAGAAAGATAGTAACTCAAAAAGAAAAAAATTCGTCTACCCCCCCTGCTTCTACTATTATCATTTTTCTTTTTCTTTTCACAACCCCCAACCTATCTCATTGCACATACTCAGGTTGTGGTCCAAAAGATATATTCATTTTCTTCTACCACACTTCTTTTCATGAGTTTTTCTTATAAGGTCACCCTAAATTAAGTCTCTCACAATAAGAGGGGTCGAAAAGTGCTTAGGCTTCATCGTCAAGGTGAGATATAGTAGGTTTACAACAAAAAAAAAAAAATAAGGCTTACCAAGTGTATATATAGGCTCAAAGGGTTAACTAGGGATAAAATAATATAGGTTGGCTTGAAAGGCTCAATCGTTCCAAAGAAAATTGCCTAAATCATATCCTAAGCAATGCAGATTCTAGGATTTTGCCAAGTGGTTATCAAGTGAGTCTAGAGTTTATGCCACATTTTCACACAAAAAAAAAAAAAAAAAAATTATTGCCCATAAAAACACACATAAAACGTCTCTAAATTTCCAAATTATTCAACCAATCAAACCCATTCCCAAGAGAGTCATAACACTAATGCAATTGTCATCTATCTAATCTTCACATTACGCGAAAGTCAATAAAAATCTCAATGTACAAATTCACTATCATAGTCTTATCATTGGACTATTATGAGCAACATACCTAAAACAATTTCACCCAAAAGCTTTTAAAGAGATAATTCAAAGCACAAAAACAATTTGACCATAAGAAAATATTCCTTACCCCAAACGTTAGAGATGATCATTGTCCTCAATGTGCAGAGAGAACAACCACACTACCTTTCGTGCGCAACATTTATGTGGAGATAATCTTGTGAAGGCATGCATATTGTTTGTTGTATCCAATAGTTATCGGGAATCTAATCCAAAAGAAAACAAACTATGTGCCATGCTTGGCCAATTTAGAGTGCATAACAGAAATAATGGGTGAAACATAAACAACTAACATATCAAACCAAACCAAAGTTATCACAACTTAACACATTAAACGAAAATCTAAAATAAATTCAAAACAAAAATCAAAACTAAATTAAAGAGCTTGGGTTGCCTCCCAAGAAGCTCTTTATTAGAGTCGTAAGCTCAACTTTTCAAATCCTTCAATGTGGATCATCGAGGAAAATCCAAACCCTTCTATCCTTAATGCCACCATCTTCATAAAGCTTCAATTGCTTTCTTTCCCTCGTATTCTCAATTTCCTCCTCCAAAGTCCTAAAATTGACAACACATTTTTTCTAGGGGTAAACGAGGGTGTTTTTCTTCTAAGGTCGCAGCTACTTTATCATCAAGGATACTAATCTCAAAGCAAGTATCTAACTTGTACATCCTCTACCCTTAAGATTAGTTTTCCTTTATGAACATCTATCAGTGTTCTACCCGTAGCTAGAAAAGGTCTTCCTAGAATTAGAGGTACTTCCCGATCTTCTTCCATTCAAGAACAATAAAATCCACCGGGAAAATCAACTTATCTACCTTGATCAATACATCTTCTACTACTCCCTTGGGGTATTTTATAGACCTATCAGCTAGTTGAAGATGGACTGTGGTTGGTTTTACTTCTCCTAGGCCTAGTTTCTTATAAATCGAAAATGGCATGAGGTTAGCACTAGCCCCTAGGTCACATAAAACTTTATCAAAATGAACATTACCTATTGTGCAAGGAATTGTGAAACTCCTTGGATCTCTGAGCTTTTGTGGTAATTTCTTCAATAGCAATGCACTGCACTCTTCCGTAAGCATCATTGTCTCATGTTCTTCAAATCTCCTCTTTTTGGTGATAATCTCCTTCAGAAACTTCGCGTACTTCGGCATTTGCTCCAACATGTCTACAAAAGGAATGTTAATATGTAAAGTTCTAAACATGTCCATAAACTTACCGAATTGCTTATCCAATCTTTGTTTTTGCACTCTGCGAGGATTGTTAGAGTAGATGCCCTAGAGCCAATCAATTATTGTAGAATTGACTCTTTGTAATAATGTTCATTAATCAATAATAAAAGGCATTTTATTCTATATCGTGTAAATCATTATTATTGCAATATGTGTTGATATATGTCCTTAGAATGGTAGAACCGTGACGAGGGTATCAAGTGTTTCAAATCTTGATAGTGAGAACCCTATGAGCACATATGGTGGCCATTCTAGAAATGTCCGTAGCCCCAGTATTATTCTGAAGAAAGGGCACAGATAATACGGTAAGGCTATCATAGTGTTGAACGACCCTGTCGAAAGGCAGTGACTGATCTCACTTGTCAAGGTTGTTTGGTGACAACCTGGTGCAACACATGGGTGCTTGTTGTAGGCGGATATACCGCAGCAAGTTCACTGGACTGACCCACCAGAGGATTCCATATGGATGGTAACCCCAGTGTCTATGGAACAAATCCTCTAACGAATGGTGGTGCATGTGATCCTTAGACTTGAGATCACCGGAGCGCCTTGTGCACCGATTGGTACAGTTTGACACTAGCCTAACGCAGTTCTATTCAGAGCTGTCAGTACGGTGGTGATTGGCTATATCAAGGAGTGTATCAAGACTATGGTGGATTGACAAAGGATTCATCACTCCCGGGTACGGGAGAAGTTATCTCACGGCGCAATTCAGTATATGGCAATGACACTAAAACTGTGGCCACAGTGGGATTGAGTTGTTGCTCTATCCAGATTATAATACGGGTCATTGGTCCAGAAACTGAATATATAATATCGAGAGTAACCGAAGGTTGACACTATTTCTATGCCTTCGTCTCGTCGAGATAACGTATGATGAAAGGATCGTATTGTACGGTAACCATATCGTTGACAGGTAGCTACTTTGCTGAATCCGAATCTATCGGGTGGCCATGATGCCTTGCTAGGGGCCAATCTTGGTCTGTGTATTAGTGAGACGATTAATTGGTGTTAATCGCGATACTATACACTACCGGTATGATGAGGAGCCTATGGGTCACACACATAGAAGATAATTTAAGAGCCAAGAAGAAAGAAGGGCGTTTTCGTCTTTTTAGGCGAAAGGGTATTTTGGTAATTTCACAGTGCAATTAAATTTGCTGAGGTCGTAGCCTATTATTTAATTTGTTAAAAAATTAAATAAGTGAAATTACGGTTAAATGTGTGTTCGCACATATTTAATTAAATCATCATTATTGTTAAATGTTAATTAAATATTAATTGATTTTAATTGAGATAATGATAAATTAAATTAAAATATCTAATTGGGAGTGTTTGGTAAATTTGGGGGTGTTTGCGTTGGAGCCCAAGCCCATTCCATATGGGAATAGGGCAACTAAAATAACACTATAAAAGAAAAGTTTTAGTTAAAAAATTGAAAGTGTTTTTATTATTTCATTTTCATTGAAAAAGGAAAAACCCTCCAGCCCCAAATACTCTCCCACGCCACTTTACTGTTTGATTGAAAATCAAACACTTTCTTTTGTTTTCTTCTTGATTTCTTAAGGCCAAGGAGGATCTAGCAAATCCCTCCTTGGTTCTTGTTGATTGTCTTCGTGTGGACCTCTACGGTTAGATCCTACACTTGGATCGATAGCAAACACGTTCAGAGACAATATTGGTGGAGCCTCCAAACGTGGGTATCGTTTCTTAAACCTTGAATTGATTTTCTGCAGATTTGACTATTTTATGTAAACTGTGATTTTTGTACCCGGATCTTGGTTCTAAGGAACGATCCATAGAGTTTATGTTTTTGTTTTCCGCTGCGTAACTGGGTCATTTACTAACAAGGATATAGGAGTGTCGAGTCATTGTTTGTCGAAGCTTGGGCATTATTGACATTTTTTTCTCCTGTGCCCTTTTTTTCTTCTTCGAGTTTTTCCTTTGCTTTTTCTTCCTTCCTTACCTCCTTCAACTCCTTACCACTTCTCAGTATGACAACATTAACTCTCTCTTTCAGATTCTTCTCTGTATCGCTTGGCAATGTCCCTTGAACTCTTCCCGCTAAAATATTGTGGATTTGCCCAATTTGAGTCTCAAGGTTCCTAATAGAGGCTGATTGATTTTGAACTAGGACATCAGTCTTCTCAAACCTCTTGCTTGTCTCTTTAATGAACTTGGTCAACACATTCTCTAAATTAGATTTTGGCTCTTGAGGTTGAAAAACAGGAGCTTGTTTTTGCTCATTGTTGTTGCTCCATGAAAAGTTTGGGTATTTCCTCCATGCTATCATATGTATTGGAATACAGATTCCCTTGCCCCTTTTGGAAATTATTGACGTAATTGGCTTATTCAGGCTGAGCAAACGGGTTCCCTTCTTGGCAATCCTTCGATGAATGATTTCCTACACAAAGGTCACATATTAGATAAGAAGATTCAATTGCATTTACTTTCAACACATTACCTAATTGCTTCTGAATGTTCAAAAGTTGGGTAGCCAATGTAGTGTAACTGTCAACTTCGTGCACTCCCGCTGATTTCCTTATCGAAGTTCTCTCTGGAGTCCTCATATAGTTATTGTTTGCCATCACCTCAATCAGATTGTATGCGTCCTCTGGCGTTTTATTAGTCAAAGCTCCCCCACTTGCAGCATCAATCATCACTTGTATATTTGGCAACAACCCATTGTAAAACGTCTGCACCTGCGACCATATTGGCAGCCTATGGTGAGCACACCTCCGTAAGAGATCCTTATACCTCTCCCAAGCTTCATAGAGTGACTCCATATCTTGCTGGAAAAAATTCGTGATGTCACTCCTTATCTTAGCAGACTTGACAGGTGAGAAATATTTCGTAAGAAATGCTTGAACTAACTCATTCCATGTAGTAATACTTCCTGATGGCAAAGAAATCAACCAAGCCTAAGCTTTATCCTGAAGAGAGAATGGGAAAATTCTAAGCCTAATTGCATTATCGGATACTCCATTGTGTTTGAATGTGTCGCAAAGCTCCAGAAAGTTTGCGATATACAGATTGGGATCATCATTAGGTAACCCTGAGAATTGAACCGAATGCTGTATCAATTGAATAATGTCTGGCTTTATCTCGAAGGCATTTGTTTGAATTGGTGGCCTCCTGATGCTAGAATAGCACCCTTCACCAGTAGGACTAGAGTAGTCCTTCAATGCTCTTTGAAAAACTTCAACTCCTGTATCAGTCATTGAACTAACTCCTCTATACAGTCCGACACTAAAAATATAAAACTAAAAATTAAGGCACTAAAAATAATAATTAAAAAAAATATAATACAAACCAAATTAGCAACTAAACAGCTTGTATTGATATTGATAATATAAAAGCAATTCCCCGGCAACGGCGCCAAAAACTTCTTGTTGATTTTCACAAATGTAAGAAATCATGCAAGTAATAAAGTGTATAAAATACGGATATCGAACCCGAGGGAATTACTATTATCAATTACCAATTAAACTATCCTATTACCATTTGATCAATCCAAATTTTATCAAGGAAACCTAAATTAAATAAAGAATTGAATTTAAAAAGAAAACTGAAAAAGAGAACAATTAAAATAAACCTTTGGGTAAAAACAAGATGACTAGACCTGTGGCATAGACTTCACACCAACTCTTATTCATGTGTATCAATCTCTCATGCTAATTTTATTATGCTCTTCCTACAGGTCAAACTCCCTAAATTTCCAATAATTTTCTCTCGAACAATTATCAAATTAACCCCTAATTACTAACGCAAATTATCTCTAATTAGATTTAAGCAATTGGGGATCATTACGCTCTATGGAGTTTACCAAAACCTCACAAGTCGCGGTAACCTATCTCTAGCATTCGCTCAACGTATGGTTTTACTATCGTAGACCAACTAAGTATCATCTCTCGATCTCAACTTAGTCCATTGGTTCATTCAATTCTTGGGCCCTTAAGAATCGAAAGCATTAGGAATAATAGTAAAACTTAGGAAAAATTCTTCATACAAATTAACAATCAAAGATCAATACATAATTAAGAGATTGGGCTACATCTTAGCCCTAGAGAATAAAATTAGTTCATAATAAACATGAAGGAAACAATCACATTTATTGAAACATTCATCACGAGTTTACAAGAAAAGAATAAGGAAAACTTCTCTATGTTGTGAATCAAAGCTCCAGAATTTTTGTTACTTCTCTTCTCTCCATATTTTTCTCCCTTTCTTCTCACCAAAAGATCCCCCAAAATAATGCTAAAAGACTTCTATTTATATCCCAAAAGGGTTAGAGTTTGTTTTTCCTTAATTCTACTTGATTTGGAACCCTTAACCCTATTCTCTTGGCTAAAAATGGTTAACAAGTTAGTGACTTCCATGACTGTGCTGCAGCACTAGCTGCTGCCCTTTTCCCACATCATTCCACTGTTCTTCAAAGATGTTGATTTTTGAACTCGATAAAGATGTAATTTGGACAAGTTATAAACATATGAAATGTAACCCTTTGAATCAGCTTTCCAACGGTCTAAGATTCGTATTAATCAGAGTTCTACAGCTCAAGATATTCTCAAAATACGGATGCATGTGCAAGCTGGAACGTAATATGGAATCTTCTCTTTACTTCAACTTCCATAACTTCTTCAATTCAACTCCGATTCTTGATCCGTTTATTTTCACTCATCACTCATTCTGTTGCCAACATGATTCTTCATCCGAGCATAACATTTAAGTACTAGTAGCCTAAAAAACACTCAAAAACACCCGTGATCCCGTAAAAGATAATTATGAAAATATTAAGCAACTTAACCAAATTAAGCCTAATTTCCCACAATTAATCCTCATAAACCACTAACTAAATGTGTATTTTCAAGCTCTTATCACTCAACACCACTGAACAACACGAGTAGTCCACTCAATGATATTTGGGTCTGCAT